TCACCACTATCAGAGGCATACACTTGCTCAACTTCCAGTATAATAGATGTGATCTCTCTCTCTCTCTCTCTCTCTCTCTCTCACACACACACACACACACACACACACACACACACAAAACAAGTCTCAGAACTCAAGAATTCATACCATGAAATTAAAATTCTAATCCACATCGAACTTCATTAGTTGCTAGCTTGCTGTATACTCAACCTTCTTATGAGTTAAATTTTAAAATGAAGAAATAAGTGACAAACTAAATTATAACTGTCTTCCATGCCATTAACAGGATGAAAAAGTGAGGATTAAACACTGCTAAAGGAAACAGGGAACCATACCAAGGAACATGCATGCAACAGGGTGAGCTTACTGCCAAAAGTCTGCTATAACTCCAGAACATTCAAGTGTTAGCTTTCTGCAGAAACATCACTTCTATGAATGATGCAAAGACAAGAATAATGATTCTTATTTATCATTAGTGATTGTTCTAGTTGGTCTTAATGTTCTATAGGAGAAGACTATCATCAGTACACCAACATTATTTTTACAAGAGGTATAAAAGGTATTGATCTCAGTCATCTAGTTCAAAGAAAGAACACAAAATGATACAAATCACAGGTATTTCAACTCTAAGAACTTTTCAAAATTATTAGGAACAATAACTTGGAATTGCTTTTAAATGCCTTTCCCCAACAGTACATGGCATCTTGATGACCCAAACAAAGCAAAACTTCTGAATATATACAAGTAATTTATTATGCATACAATACTTGAAAAAAAGAAAGCCTGAACTGATCTTCAGGTTAAGAACTCATTGATTCTTAATTAGCAATCTCAGTGGGTAGGTAGACAAACAATGTGAGAATGTATGTAAAGAAAGTTACAATAAAATATAGAGGAGGAATGAGAATATCAAGCACAATCTGAAAGCTTTGCTCTTTCTTCAAATTGCTTGTCCACTGCAAGTGATAAAGCTTGAAGGAAAGTTGTCATTGTAACACTAGGAGACTAGAAGGAAAGATAAACATGTTAAGTGCCAGAATAAAAGTTTGTAAATCCACTATATAAAAAGAATTCAACAGTTCTTTAACCCACTATACGAACATATTACAAGTATTACATAAATACAAAAATTCCATGAAAATAGGAACATTTCTAATGGCATTTATGTTATTGACCTAATTAAAACGCTGAATGGATTTATTATTTGCTATTGCACATGACTGTTTTGTTTAGGCTTGCTCTTTGTGGCATGTGCCAAAATTAAAAATGTAAAAATTACAGTTAGTCCTGAGTCAAAATGAAGCTCATATATTGGCTAATTATGTATTTTATGATATTTGTAAAATAACATGATCTTACTTGAATATGCAGTGCATGGGCTAGAAAAGGAAGCTTTCTTAAGATACGTCCGCTAAGTCCTTCACTTTTCCTATAAAGCAGAAATATGTTAAGCATTATGTTTGATTTTGTAAATATGAACACAGAAGAAAAGTGCTAAGTTTTACAACATAATACATATTGAACCAACCTGTTAATGAATTATGGGCCAGAAAAAGCCTTGTTTGCTCTATGGTTATATTTTTAGATTGTATTACTATATATTGGAAGTGGGATCTCATTTGTGTAATCTAGCTTTGTTCTGTTAAGGATGTACAAAATATTTCAAATCTCTCCAAAGTGATCCTAACTTGAAATACCCTGTTTCAACCACAAAATGCCCAGTGTAATCATTCAATTTATAAACTGCTTCTTCAATTTCTTGGCTTTGTTTTCATGATCTTTTGTTATTGCACAGTTCCTCAATATTCTTGGAAATTGACTCACTGGGATACTTTATTTTAAATATCTAGGTTGTGAACTCTATAAATGTAAATAGGTGTTGAAATCAGTGGACATTGTAATTAAATGCGCCAGGAATAAAATCTGTCTTTCAGCAATACTAGGAGACGTTTCTTTTTCTTGCTGCATAAAAAATCACCCTAGAAAGCTGATCGGGCCAAGCTGTTTTTTAAATTATTTGCCAGATGTTTCAATATTGTTATTGTTTCTATGTGTTCTGCTTACTTTTGAAAGCAAAAGCCACATGCATTCAGGTTGCTTTCTTAATGCACACTATACTTGACACAGCTGGTACACTGAGGCTTCAAATTGCCAAAAGGAAATTATTACTTTATCTTTTTGAGCAAAAATGAACTGTCAGTGTACATTCAGTTTTTGGCTTTCAGACTGCTGAATGTAAGTGTAAAATTGTATTACTTTTAGCATTCTTTCTTCTGAGTTTTGCAGGGAAGTTGACATGACAATGCAGAAGTACGCTTATGCAATGTGCATTAGGAAGAAGTTTCAAGTGACAGCCAGAATTGAGAAGGGCTTTTTTCTGCTGTTAACAACAACAAAGTGTACTTAACTAAATGGAAGATGGCACTCAGCACAGACTAGCATCCCACACAGTTTTATATATCTAAGAAAAAAAGGTGTAAATGTTAGGTTTTATTCCCATTGTTCCCTAAAGTAGAATTTTTAAAATATTTCCAATTTTGTTCCAACACAGAACTCAAGACTTTATGGGGTTAAGTCTACAGGGCATTATACTGTGATGGTACTAGTGGATCATGTTCAGAAGGTAGTGCTTGATGAGGGTTGCTTTATAGCCTAGCCTTTGGCCTATAGTATGCTATGGAGTTCCAACTCATCTTGCTATTAAATATCTACATGAAATTATGAAAGTGTTCATTTGGAGTTTAGAATTAGGTATTATAAATATGCTGATAACACTCAGTTCTATTACTCTTTATCATAAAGACAAAGGAAACAGTTGATGCCCATGAATCTTGTCCAAATTTGATAATGATCTAGATGATCATTATCAGTGATGATGAGTGGGCAACCTGAGATAAATCCTGACAATATGAATGTGCTGTTGATCTGTAAAAGGTATGGCTCATTCAATATGGTCTAGAAAAGTTATTCTATTCTGAAAGATCAGATGTGCAGATGAGGACTCCTCATTGATACTATGCTATCCTTGCATTTTCAAGTGAAACAAATCTAGTGCAAGCGGCACTAAATTTCTCAGCTCTTAGCTCTTTCCTCAGATCATTTAATCAGAAACAATTGTGAGAGAGAGATCAGAGAGCCAGTTTGGTATAATGGGTAAGGCATCGGGGAAACTGGGAGACCATGAGTTGTAGTCCCAGACCTTAGGCACAAAGTCAGCTGGGTGATCTTGGGCCAGTCACTCTTTCTCAGCCCTAGGAAGGAGGCAATGGCAAACCACTTCCGAAAAACATCACCAAGAAAATTGCAGGGACTAGTACAGGCAGTTGCCAGGAGTCAAAAATTGACTCGAGGTCACCCCCCACAAAGATACATATCACTTTTAACTAAATACTGCAAAATGTGTCAATTTTTCAATTGCTTTTTAATGGTTGGGGGTCTGACTAAGAGATCATCTGTCTCATTATGAATTTGTTATTAATACCTGCAGGAAAGAAACTTTTGTTGACATCATCACAAGCAAAGACCCATTTGTTGAACACATAGAAAAAGGCTCTCCTGAGTTGTTCCCAAATTTATTTATTTATTTAAAAGATTTATATTTTGTCCATCTTATGAAGCACAACTCTGGGCAGCTAATAACAATAAAACCAGAAAAGAGTAAAACCAAAACCTGATGCCTCAATCAACGTTCTCCAATACATCCAATGATACAATCCCTAGGCTCCAACTTCATCCTATCCTAACAATGGTGGAGGAGCATCGAGAGCCCTAAGGCACTCCACATCACAGGGGTTTAGAGCGAGACCTCATCCCCCACTCCCGTATGGCACCCTTTCTATTTTTACAAATGGTACTTAAGCACAGTTTTTTAAAACTTGGCCTTTTAAATTATTCAGTAATATCATTGTTATGTTTACAGTCCTTAGCATTCTTTCATTATTGGATTTTAAGTCATTATTTTTTAATTTGTTATACACAATCTTGGTTGCTTTTATTGGAAAGTTTTACAGACATATTAATTACAAAAAAGCTATCAACAGGGGTGGAGAATCTCTAGATTATATATACCCAAGTTGTAGATTTACTTCTGGTCATAGAATGTCCACTCTTGTTATATAGTGTTTGGCTTTGTATGAAATTTGTTCAAGAAGAGAACAGTCTAGAATAAGAAATGAATATGGCTGCCTATAATGACAAATGAGTGCTCAGCCTCCTCTGGTGAAGTCCTTCAATGACAATCTTTTTCCTCTTTTTGATCTGTGGGAACAAGTTCAGAACATATCTTTTGCCATCAGGCAATAAGACCATCTGGGTGAGACCCTGTAAAAACTGGGTTTGTTAAAAAAGAGCAGGAAAAAAAAACTCATGGTGGTTGGTCAAAGCCACACCAGTTAATGTATGGAAGGGAATAGAGATCAAGAGGAGGAGCAGGCAAAGAAGAGAAGAAGTGACTACAGAAGAACTTACAGCAGTAGTGGTAGTAAGGGGGTTGTTGGGGGCTGAATCCACAGTATGGGACTATTGTTGTGAATAATCTGGTCAAAAGAGAAGCAGGGATGGTAACCCAGGACAGAACACTGCAGAAACCACAACATGGAATTCACCATGATGAAGAGATGCCATAATTAATTAGAAAAATGGATTATAATACATCTGTGTCTGTATTTCTTCTGTAATTCTCAGATTCAGGAATGCACTTTGTTTTATTCCTCATATTGTACTTAGTAATAGGAACTCTTATCATTGGTAAAAAGAATTCCAGACTGCTTTGCCTGACCCTTGAAATGGAACAGGAAACAATGTGGGACGTGAAGACTGCTCTTGAGATGGAAGCTAAACAGGAGGAGGAAAAGTGACTTCCAGGGATGGGGTGGGGAATCCAATCCATGTGTCTGTGGCTAAGGATGGTGAAGTTGAGATAAATGGGCAGTAGAACCTCTCAGCAATATCACTTTGTGACCTCTTAGGGGGTGAATGAAGGAGCACATTTCTGTAATGAAAGGTCAAGGGAAATATGCAGGAGGCAGTGGGTGAGCTATTTCAGGGGAAGTGAGACCAACAGTTTGATGCTTGTTTCCTCTCCCACCTCAAATGCCTCAAACCTGGATGCAAAAGGCCAGATTGATGGTGACCTTGGGCATGAGCTGGTAAATGCGAGGTCTATTTGTAATAAGATTATGTTTATCCATAATCTAGGAGTGAATGAGCAAATGGACCTGATGTATAGTACTGAAACCTGGTTGGGTGAGGGGGGTGCTTTGAGAAAGTTCCTTCCAAGTACTATCTGGCTTCAGACCCCTAGGTCTGATGTATGATAGAACATCATAGACAGGTATGATATAGAAGCTTTCCATCTCTACTCCAGTCAAGCTGGAAATCCGGTGGAAGTGTTGACCCAATGCTTGGAGGCTGTTATGGTCTGAATGGAATGAAACAGGCTGAAGTTGAATCCAGCAAAATAGTTATTTGTTTGGAAAATTTATCTGCTGGTTTGACATGGTGGTATTCCCCATGAAGGTCTGTGACTTGGGAGTTCTCCCAGACTTATGGATACCAGCTCCATCTACCTATCTAGCAAAGACGCTTTGGTTGGCGTGTCAGTTTTGGCCCTACCTGGAATGTGAAGTCCTGGCTACTGTGACTCTTGCACTTTTCACTATGTGACTGGACTATACCAAAATGTACTCTACATGGGGCTACATTTGAAGACCCCATCCCTGGAAGCTGCAATTGTAGAATGCAGCAGCCCACTTGCTGGTGAATGATAGTTGTGGTAACCATGTAATACCTGTGCTGTGGATACTGCATTGATCACATGTAGGTTTCTGAATACAAGTCAAAGTGCTAGTTTTAACTTACAAAGTCCTCTATTGCTTGGCTCCTAGCTACCTTTGCATGGAATTGCTTCCTGAAAAAAATCTGTTAATATTCCCCCATTACCAAGAGGTTAAAGGGGAGGAGCTTGCAGACTATGCTTTTCTGTTGCAGCATCTATCTTATGAAACAGCTTCTGCCCTGATGTTAGACCACTGTCAATGCTAATGGCCTTCTGAAAGAACTGAGCATTTCCAAAGTATATTCAGGGAATTGTGAATGTGTGCCATCTGTATTACTTTAATATATTATTACTGTGTTAGCTTGCTTATAATGATGTTTTATTGTTGAAATTGCTGGAGTACATACAGATTACAGTAATATACAAATGACAGAACACATACTCACAAAACAAATAGCCCTTGTGCATACATGCTTGTTCACAGTTTAGCAAGAGTTAAGTAATGCAAGCTTTCCTGTTTTAGCACTTAAATAAGCTACCACACTATTGTTTTATAATTTAAAGAAAATAATGCAAAAATAAACACTTAACTTCTCTATTATGAGTAGCAATATTATGTGATTATTATACTGTATGTCAAAACAACTACTTGTGTGAGAGTGCATATGTATCAATAACATGCATAAACCCAGAAAGACACATTAGAATATAATTTCTCACTGTAGTCTCAATTCTGAAAACATACATTTGACCTCATGAAACAATAATCACATATCCAAGAAGCATAAAACAAAACAAAAAGTCAGCAAAACTAAACCCTGAAATATACCTTGAAATGTCTTTCAACAGGAGACTTAACTTTGACACGTCGTTTTCTAAATAACCAATCATCTCTAGCTCATGGAGTGTTAGCAGCTGCTGACGAGGATATATTATTTGGCACTTTGGGGAAAAAAGTTTTTATTTACAAAAAATAATATGCAAAGCTGAAAAATCATTGTTATTAAAAAAAAAAAAAAGTGCTAACCACCAACTCAATAAGGTTGAAGACAATATTCAGCCCAAAGAAGTTATTAAAAAGGAATAGTCATTGCTTCCTAGTCCAAGTTAAATACATAGAAAAAATACACTAGTGAGAATCAAAAGTAAAATTAGTTAAATATTCCTTCAGGATTAGAATTAGACTTTTAAGAATTTAATATAATAGCAATTTAAAAAAATACTGATTCCAAGTAATTACCTTCATTAGCTCTTCTAAGCAAGAATGATAGATTTTGAATACTGCTGCAGGAGAAGGTGGTCCAATATATTGTTTGATATCAGCTCTATCTACAAAGGCAATATCAATTTTCTCTGTGATATTTGAAGTGGTCAAGATAACCACATTAGGATACCTTTGAAAACACAATTGCAAGAACGTCACTTCATATACTTAATGAACACAGAAATTTTTGACTCATGAGACAAGTTTGAATTATTCAAGAATCTTTGAATATATAAGGCTGTAACGAGAGTTCCCTCTGTTTCTACAGAACAAATTACTGCTTAGTTCTGGGTTAAATGAAGTTTGACAACCTTAAATCAAGTCTGAAAGTTACTGGTTTTGTTTAATAGAATTATAAATATTTCTATACATTGCTAATTTGATATTTTTGAAAAGTTCCTCTGAAAAGAAAGGAGAAATGTTTTCTTGCTTCCAGGTACTCCTATCTTATTTCTGACCTTTTATAAGAAACGGTAACTATTACTGATTACCTTTTGATCTGATCAATTTGTGTCAGTACAGCATTTACAACACGGATAGCATCAGAAGGTTCAGTACCTGCCTGAAAAGCACTACGAGCAGCGGTGAGACTTTCCACCTGCAAAAAAAAAAAAAAAATGGCTAGCTCATACAAATTGTTAGGGATAGCAACTACAATGAGAGTTCTCCCCGACCTCTTGAACAGTGTGTCACCTCTATTCTTTTTCTTTCTTTCTTTCTTTCTTTCTTTCTTTCTTTCTTTCTTTCTTTCTTTCTTTCTTTCTTTCTTTCT